GAGTCAGTGTTAGCTTTGTGTCGTACCCTGGATGTCACAGAGTGAGTGTTAGCTTTGTGTCGTACCCTGGCATGTCACAGAGTCAGTGTTAGCTTTGTGTCGTACCCTGGATGTCACAGAGTGAGTGTTAGCTTTGTGTCGTACCCTGGCCATGTCACAGAGTCAGTGTTAGCTTTGTGTCGTACCCTGGATGTCACAGAGTGAGTCAGTGTTAGCTTTGTGTCGTACCCTGGCATGTCACGGAGCTGGGCAACAGTTGCCGTTCTTGGTTGTCCATAAGACGTTACGCGTACACGATGTTGGTTAATCATGGCTCTCACTGTCCTTTTTAAAGTTTTAGTAAGGTTTTATGGCGCTCGCAACTGCATAAGGTCATATGAGCGCCAAGGGGAGGATGTCAACAGAGAAGTCCTTACAGGGAATCAGACTTACTCTGCTCACCTCTCTAGCCTCAACAGCACAAAGTCTGCTTCGACTATCACAGAGGTCACTGACTCACCCTATCACAGATGTCTTTGACAGCGGCGGCTCGCACACACTGGTACACCTCCTCCTCCTTCCAGTAGTCGATGAGGACACCCTCGGCCAGCGACTGTTCCATGGTGGCGGGGGACGCTCGCATCGGGGCTGGGGGGACAACATCAGCAACATTGTTACATAAAACAGCAGCAACACCATTACTTACAACATCAGCAACATATACACTCTCATTACATACACCATCAGCAATATCATGACACACACTACCAGCCCCATCATTACTTTTACGTACAACTGCCAGGCTGAAACAGTACCACACCACCTCTTTATCTGCCCTGCACTTAGCGACCTGCGTAGTACCTACCTACCTACCTACCTGCCTCTCAAGATATTGGAAATACTTTATACAACGACAAAACACAGCTGATTAAAACCTGTCAATTCTTTGCCATGTCGACAGGCCGAAGGGCTAGAACCCAGATGGTCAGAAAGTAAAGTTAAGTACAGTCAAGTTAAGTCAAGTCCAGTCAAGTCAAATACAGCCCAGTCACGTCCAGTCAAGTCAAGCCAAGTCAAGTGAAGTCAAGTACAGTCAAGTCAAGTCAAGTACAGTCACGTCATGTACAGTCAAGCCAAGCCAAGCACAGTCATGTACAGTCAAGTCAAGTCAAGTCAAGTCAAGTCAAGTCATGTACAGTCAAGTCAAGTCAAGTCATGTACAGTCAAGTCAAGTCAAGTAAAGTCATGTACAGTCAAGCCAAGTACAGTCAAGTCATGTACAGTCAAGCCAAGTACAGTCAAGTCATGTACAGTCAAGTCCAGTCAAGTCAAGTCAATCAAGTCAAGTACAGTCACGTACAGTCACGTACAGTCAAGTCAAGTCAAATCATGTACAGTCAAGTCAAGTCATGTACAGTCAAGTCAAGTCAAGTCAAGTCATGTACAGTCAAGTCCAGTCAAACAAAAGTACAGTCGAGTCAAGTCCAGTAAAGTCAAGTGAAGTGTACCCACCAGGCTGACAGTAGCTGTACTTGTCTGGAGATTCTGCCACCAGTTTTCTGATGAGGGCCTCGGCCAGGGGGGCTAGCAACACCACGGGCCGCGTTGTCTTTACTGTGGGGGGGGGGGGGAAGAGAACTCGTCAAATATATAAACCCGCCTGTCACAGAACACGTCAATCAATATACACATGGCACAGAACACATCAATATACACACGTCAAAGAGACGTATCTATTATCTATTTGTGGTGGCCGGATTTTGCTATTCAAAAGACTTTTTAATGGCTGCATCGATCGACGTGCGGTTTTCGCCAAAAGATTCTTTAAAATATTCTCCAGATCATGACGCCCTTCGTTTTTCCAGCTTTGAGACAGTTTTGCTGCAAAAAGCTAAATTTCTTTATTTCGCCGACGCTTCTGTCTCTGTAGTTTTAGAAAATCCGCCAGGTTTGTTTATTTCAAGTCGTACTTCCGTTCGATACTATCGCGCATTGTCGCGCAATACTGAGCACTATTTTAAGTGTGCGACCCGTATAGATCTAGCCTCATGTTTTCTTTTTCTTACTTGGTGCTAAATTCGACTGATCCTTTCGTTTGATGCCCATCATCGCTTTTTCCGGACTCCTTTGTCAAATTCTTTTTCTTGCTACTGGGAACAACGTCAACAGGTCTCAGATTAGAACCTAGATCTAGATCTAGATATCTAGATAGCGCCTGACCATGCCGAAAAGAAAACGAAGTTCTGCACTTGGAACCCCTCGCGCTCACAAAGGTCAAGGTGGTCTAGATCAACAACAAGATGATTATATATCTGGCAACTTGAACACCTGGGTCACTTTTCTCTCCAGATTTATTGCTCCATTCCAGTAGAGTGTATAGTAGGCCAATGACTTTCAGTTGATGTTAACGCACCGATCATTCCTTTCATCGAAAGGGGGCCCAGCTAGCGTGTGTGTGTATATATATATAT